TCGCTAATATTGTCAACGACAATATAGTTACGTTTATGTACTGTCAGTAACAGTATAATTATTGTTAATGACAGTACAATTACGGTCAACGTTTAGCGGCGGGCGTACAAAAAACGAATAAAAGTTTTAGGAAAAAAATCGAAAAAAGTCAACGCTAGAGACGGCGGTCTACGCCGGAAACCGGTGGCGGAATAAACAGACCAGAAAAATAAAAAATAAAAAGTTGAAAAAAAGTCGACGTCGGAAACCGGCGACAAAAAAATAATTTCAGCAAAAAAAGTTTTTAAAACAAAATGTCAAAATTGAACTTTTGTGGTCAAAATTGATGAAATTGAGGTTGCAATTAAGAATTCGCCGTAAGGGTAGCGGTAATTTTGTCAGATACATTAATTTTTCCTTTATTTATAATACATATTAAAGGGATGGGTCTATTGGCGAAAGATATATAACCCCTGAACCTAGAATAATAAAGAGGGCTGGTTAGGACACAAAAACCCCAAAAGACAAATATTAGCAATTTCAGATGATGCATTGGGGTTTCGAACCCGAAGTCAAGGAAAGTTTGGGTCAGTCCAACCTAAGATGTTAAATCCGAAAGAGGAGACGGAGTTTCTCTTCGGTCGAGTAACTTCACCCAACTAAGCCAGAAAATGATGGGGCTTATACCTTAGAGCCAAGTCGGAGAAAGCAAGGTTCTGAAAGAAAGGCCCTCTTAGAGGCTTTGGCCCTACATTGAGGGAAAACCTACTCTACGTGCACTTTTGTAAATCAAGAAAATGAGTAAATTTACAATATTTGCACAGAGGTAATGTTAACCCTAAATCATAAATATGTCAGCCAAAATTATTGAAATTTTGAGAAGACTTTACAACTTAATTTCATTTTTTCTCTGCACTATTCTTAAAATATAGCATTTGACACTTTGGCACCCCATGAAGAAATAATATCACTTTGCACTCTGGAAAGGTAAATAATCATTCACATTGCACCTCAATTGATATTTTAGCAAAATTCTCGAAGTAAATTATTTGTTTGGTAGATCTTTAACAAAAAAAAGCATAATTTGCGGAAAATTTCTAGTAAAATAGTGAGAAAATGGTTGAATTGTGGGGAGAACCAAACAATTTAACTTGACCTAAAGATGAAAATACCATCCGTGAATACACACCCATACAAAAACATTTTTTTTCTTGGTGCAAAATTATTAAATTTTTAATCTTTCCACCCTTCAACTATTTTTTTCACCAAACTACATAAATAATATCGTTTCATACAAAAAAATCATCAATGTTTTACCAATTCTGATAAGGGAGGTACACATCCAATAATTTGAAATTTATTTATCAGAATTCTATTATTTGAATTATATTTATCACATAAAAGGAAATTTTCATTTATAAATGCTACTAATAGATGAAATTATCTTCACTAACCTTAAAACTTATGTTGGGGTGAACGTGATATTAATTTGTTTTTGGCGATGCATTCTCAAGGGTGCAAACTGGAATTATACCTTCCGAAATTAATAAAACAATCATCAACAATTGAAGAAACAATATAACGGAAACTTATCAAATTTATCTATTAAAATTATAAGTACTGAAATTTCGAGAACTTGGCTCCAAATTTGCAATTCAGCCTTAGATGTATTATATTTATTGTTGTCAACAAATACTTATGTGCTCTAAAAAATTTGAAGCCAAAATCAGACACCCAACAAAAGAATATATAACAAATATAAGTCAACATAAAAAGGTAAAATAACGAATAGTTACTAAATAAGTTTTACATTTATTCTTTGTAATAATTATAAAAATTTCTTCCGGTCACCGTGCATATTGGCATTCCTGGCCATTATTGAAACCCCAAATTGCGAAGAGCTAACTCTTAAAAAATCTACATAAGATGCTATGTGGCCATCAGTGGTTCTTGTCCGATTCTCCTCATTTTGTATGGTCGTAGCTAGGTGGTGGTGTCGTGGTAAATTATGGTCTAGAAAATTTGTCCAACATAAAATAGATTAGAAAAACATATATTATTTTGACTTTTATGCTGGAAGAGTTAAACAAAAATTGTTCGGGATATTAGGAACATATATTAAAAACTTGAGACTACACAAATTCCCAACTGACTCACCTTCATTGAGAACAATGATTTGAACTGGAGTTACCTGCAAATGGAAGAATAAAAGTTATGCCAGGAAGAAAATAATAATAATAAATAGATCTAGAAGATCCAACCATGGTTTGGCAACTTTCATGAATGCCAAAAGTAATTTTGCGAATTTCTGGTGAAGAAAGCATGATTAAAAAGAGACGTTAATCTAAGACTCAAGCCAAAAATAAGAAAAATCAAGAAAATCAAGAAGTTGTAAAGACTAAATGTGAAATGGTTTGTATACTTTGCATTTTGTATCAACAAATGCTAAATATGTATTTGTATATGATTTATTTAAGGTTGTTATTCAATGAATTGTAACTGATCAATTTAATTAATATTGGATTATAATAACTTTTATAATGTATTAACAATTTATGAATTAGTAAAAAAATGTTAATCAATTTACCTAATTGACCTTTCATTCTTGTTTATTAATAGGGTATTTTTGGAAGTACAAAAAATGCAAGAAACATCCCATCTATTCACACTTTTATAAGTAGCATAGATGATTTGTTCGACCCTACACCCGGTAAAAACCACCGGGTGGGTCTTCTGCTACCAC